GATACTTTCTCACAATCCTAAATCCGCAAGGAGATGAGGCTTCTGTAATGACCTCAGAACGTTGGATCTATAATTCGAGGCGAGACAGGCAGTGGGAAAGTTCAAAGCGTTTATGGCAGAAAAATCCCTCCATATCCATAGGGCAGAAACAGGTCACAATCAGGAAAACAGAACAAGATACAGAATGCTAGTTAATCTTACCAAACTGTTAGAATAACCTGGCGCTGACGGAAGGCAAGCATGCAACATAAATAGCTGGATAACCAGGTGGAAATGATCGGGGTTAATCAGCTGCAGGACCAATTAGACAGGGGAGCAAGGAGGAAAGGGAAAAACCGAACCATAAGCGCTGAGATCATGACAGCTTCAGAATCGTTTAAAATGACCAGGCCCCAGCTTCATGCAGCATGTCGATTCATATGAAAAACTAAAACCAAACAGAATCTCTATTAATAGAGCTGTTGACGGATTTTCGTGCATGGTCATATTGCTGCATGCTTACTCCACAAGTAGTAACCCCACGGTTATAGATGGATTTATTGATGAAGTGAAAAACAGGAGTGGAATTCCAACGCATATCATGTTAGACCTGCAGAGAACTGTTCAGTGGAACAGATGCAGATATTCTTAATAGGTAATCATGAAGACCAGTTTTGTGAGAGATTCTTTATTACAGGCTCAAGTAAGCATAACCAAATATATAGATATGATCTCATAATTACAAAATAAGAGCTCGTAATTATGAGATAATATCTCGTAATTATGAGAAAAGATCTCGTAATGACCAGGTAATATCTGATAATTACGAGATACTGATCTCATAATTATGAGATAAGCTGTCTGAATTTTTTTCTTTGGTGAATGCAATACGCTTACGTACAAAAGGGATATGTGACTTTTTAAATGAAGAATCGGGTGACGTCATTTGAGATTTTGATTCTCCAAAATGTAATTGAAGATATCTTGAATTGTTGTTTTCACTAGTCAAATTATACATTTAGATATCTTAACGTTTCCTTCAGGACTGTATTTTTTCTTGCCAAAATTGTTTCTTTGATATCTTAGAAGTAATTACGGATAGTCAGAAGAGGCTGATTTTATGTTAAATTGACCTGCCATACATATCTTACATAACTCCCAGGCTTGACATACTTTCAAGTCGAAGGGGCTAAACTAGATGCGTCTTCTAAATCAGGTCAGTTTATTCTGATTTTCTACTGTTTTTATCGATTGTTAATTAATCTTTCTATCAACATTGTGTTATACAATGTAGACCATGTTAAGTTCTGAATGTTAATGTTTTAAAAAGTTTTGGAACATAATTTATAATTGCATATTTTGGTAGGAATATAATGTAATATACAATTTTGAGTGAGTGCAAGTAAAGCTGTAGATATTATGTATTTCTTAAACTTTGTTGAAAGAAAATCAAGTAGAGGACAAACTGAAGTGGGGCGGATATAGTTTTTTTATTGGCCAGCAGCCATTTTACCAAAAAGTTCCTAATGGTGTCAGAATAAAACTGTCTATATTTCAGCTGCTGCTGCAGAATAATCCTCACATTTCACAAAGTCAGAGATTACAGTACTAAGAGTTAACGTCAATAAAGAACCTAAAATTTGATAATTATGGGAGTCATGAAATATTTTTTTTATTAATTTAGTCAGTTGTACTTTGGAAGTTTATTTGTACCAATTTTCAAATTCAGTCTTCATAAAGTAAAAAAAAAAAGATTAATTGATAAAATGTACTCATCTCCCCATGCCCTACTGTTTGTTTTACATTTCACTTTATTTGTTTTTAAATCCTTCTATTCTCTCTCTCCCTCACCTTTTAACCTGCCATGAGACAGATTACATATCTTTATGTTTTAAGACACTTTTTAAAACTTGTCTATTTGACTTGGCTTTTGACTGCAGGTGAAATGTTAAATATTCATTGCATGGATGCTTATATGTATTTTATTTACCTACATTTTATATTTTCTACCTTTTTCTATTTTATTTTATTTTTTTATTTAAGGGCATCACTTGTGTGATTTATATATTGCTTTGTATTTAAAGCTGGGTTGTTTTAATGTATGATAGAGAGAGTCTAGCACTGTTTACATAAAACCATTAAAAAGTTAATTGTCAAGAAATATGGATCATTTAAAAACACAAAATTTATGGTAATGTCAGCACAAATGTTTGAAACTAAACAGCAGACATCTTTGTACCAACTTACAATAAAAGGGATATTTATGTTAGAAGTGAAAATTAGGAATTTTATTGACCTAAGCTGCTTGTCCAACAATAGACACATTTAAAGTTTATATTTAAACACATATTCCAAAAATTAAGAAATTGAAACTCACACATTGAGTCTGTTTCAAGAAGCAGCCTCACTAAAAGACATCACTCTAGTCTGCTAATGTGGAGTATCTGAAAGTAGGATAGATTGATGACCTAATTAGAACAGCTTGACTAATATTAATAAAAGAATAAAAAAATACTTGTTAAATATTTTCTTGTTCTTTTTCATCATAAAACTAAATATTTTTGTTATGCAATATTTGTACCGAAGTTTCCCTTATCCATGTTCCCAGCTGCAACTTCTCTCCAAAACTCTTCTCTCTCTCCTCTAAAGGGTTATCAGCCATGGCTCAGTCTTCCATTGTTCTTCTGGGACATACTGGAGTTGGAAAAAGTGCTTCAGGAAACACCATTTTAGGAAAAAAGGCATTTGAATCAAGACGCTCCTTCAAATCTGTGACCACAGACATCCAGGAAGAAACCAATTTTGTGTTTGACAGAAATATATCAGTGATCGACACCCCAGGAATACTAGGAAAGGACTCAGAAACGAAGATCACAGCCTACTGCCAGGAGCGAATGGATTCAATATCTCTGTTTCTGGTTGTGGTTAAAGTAGATCGATTCACTGAAGAACAGGAGAAAGCGGTGGAGGCAGCTATCAGAGTTATTGAGCCATATGGTCTAGAGAGAGGTTTCTTGCTCTTTGCAGGTATTGATAATTTAGACGGTACACTGGAAGACTTTATCAATGAAGATCCTGAGTCTCCTCTTCAGAGCATTGTTGAAAGGTTTCAGAGAAGGTACCTGGGGTTCAACAATAAAAATGGAGGACCAGAGCAGGTCAGAGAACTGCTCGACAAGTCAGGTGTGGAAATATTACTAAACATACATTACAATATTTCATCATTAAGCCAACAGTGCTCTCCAAATTATCTTAAAACAGTAGATCACTACATTATCTTAATTAAATCATACTTACCTAATTTGATAATGTGAGTCAGTCAGACCTGTCTCTCTGAAACATTCATTTTCAACAATCAGTTTTTTTTTTGTCTTTCCAGTGATACCATCTTCAGTACCTGAAATCCTGGAGAAGAGAAATATTGTGCTGTTTGGGCTGCAGGGAGCTGGGAAGAGTTCATCAGGAAACACTATTCTGGGGTCGCAAGTGTTTGAGTCAGATTGTGGGTTTAATTCTTGCACAAAAAAGTGTCTCACCCATTCCGCCAGAATAGGTAGTCAAGAAATAACACTGATAGACACTCCAGGTTTGAGTGATTTTAAACAGTCTCCTGAGGAAGTAGCCACTGCCATAGTAAATGCATTAAATGAAGAAGAGATTCATGCTTTTGTCATCGTGGTGAAGATTGATAGAGTTTGTGAAGCACATAGGGACATGTTTCAATGTCTTCCAATTTTGTTCGGCACTGATGCTTTGAAGTCCACTATGGTGCTTTTTACTTATGGAGATGGTCTGAAAGGTGAGCCCATTGAGGAGAAGTTTAAGGACAGCAAAGAAATAACAAAACTTATCAATCTGTGTGATAACAGATACTGTGTGTTTGACAACAAGCAACCGACAAACAGACAGCAAGTTAGAAACTTTCTACAAAAAATAGATAAGATGGTTGAACTTAATGGAGTAACAAAATGCAACACACTCCAGGTTATGTTTGGATCTGGTCAGAATGGTCCATCTGATTCTGGTCCGTCCAATTCTGGTCTATCTGATTCTAATTTCGAGAAAAGATATCACAACTCAAGAAAAGATCACCTTTCTCCATGGGAGAGGCTTGTTCTTTTAATAATGAAAATTAGATACTTAATTATATCATTATTTAATGAACCTGGATCATCATCACAGCCCCGTGTGAGCTTGCCTGTGTGTCTTTAAACTGCATTTCCTCATAAAACTAGATTAGATCAAGTGGGGGAAAAAATTGCAGCACGCATGCAAGTACATATTTCACCCTTTCATTCGCATCTTGCTAAAATATGTAAGGCTTCATTTAATTCAAAACAAAATAGAATTCTTCCTGGTCAAAACTGCTGGTCATAACTAAAAATAAAGATATCCTGAATTGCATTTTTACCAGCAAAAACTAAATTACAGGATATAAAAATATAACTCTACTAGTAAGAATAAAGTTTCAGATGTCTAGAAATCTTTTCAAAGTTTAATTGGCCATTTTGAAATGTATTAGCCTGACTGAATATGTATTTCAGATGTCTCAAATGCATTTATTCCTGGTCAAATGAACATTTCAGAACTCTTTAATAACATTCTTCCTATCTAAAATAAACACTCTGGATATCCAAAACTATATTCTCATGAGGATGAACATAATGTCAATTTCAGATATAAAAAATGAATATAACATTCTAGATATCCTGAAAACCAATTCTTGACATTAAAAAATATTTCAAATATTAGAAATATCATTAAAGATATCAACTACTGATATATTACAAGTTAAATGGGATTTCAGAGATCAAAATTTTAATGATGCTTTGTAAAATGAAGTTTTAGACAGAAACATATCTTTGACTAACTTTCAGGAAAATAATGAGGCTCCTGTCACAGTTGGATTATAGTAATCAAATTCTTTTTTTGACATTCAGAATGTTTATTTCTACATAGGAGTAATGGTATTTTAGATATCTGAGGAACAGCCCAATATACATTAATGGGGAAAAGCGATGCCATTTTTACTAGAAAGTATTACATATAAGATATGTGAAATATTAATTTGAAATGGTAAGAATACTATCAAAAGATATCAGAAGTACATATCCTGTCAAGCAAATAAATGTTAAAACAGACACTTGAAATGAGTAAAGGTTTGTAGATATCTATAATTAAGTTCTTACTAGTACAAATTTGATTCCAGATTACTTAAAAGTTCATTTCTACTGGTGGAATTATAATTAGTGATATCTATAATACAATTCAGACAAGGAATTTTATCATTGAGACTAGTTAGAATGCTTTAGTGCTATCTATAATAGAAATGTGACTTGTCAGCCTGCCTTATGTTAAAACTGAGCTCCATTATTCTATTGAAAGTATTTAAAACTGCATTGTGGAAATTATTACATGACTAATCCTGATTACATTTTTGAATAGCAAAATCAACAAGATAAGAAGTGAAATAACCCTTAGATTTATGTGTCCAATGAGATACATGCTTTAATGTGTATAGAAATATCTTTGACCAAGAATGAGTGTAATAAATGTAATTATTTTATGTTTTTTGTTTTATTTAATGATGCCTAATAATATAGGTCCATGTAAAAGCTTAATACTGAGTTCGCAGGGCTGGAGTTCAAACTATGTTACTACTTCTTACTCTTATTCCTTTTAAACATGTCAGGACTACAGTTTCTACATCATATGTGTATCCTAAATTCTGAGTTTTTTTTTTTTATGTTTGTAATTTTTAATTCTACTGTTATGTTCAAAATTAAATATTGTATTTATCTTTTATTTTAAAAAAATGTATTACATATATTTGAAAAATAGTTTGACAATAACTTCTAATTAAATCTCAGCTTAATTGTCCAGGTTTAAAACTAAAAGAGAAGACATGTTTGGATTTGTGAAAATGCCTTCAGCAAAGAGATATCCTGGGGAGAGTAACTGTCATTGTAGGTGCATATATCTAAAAAAAATCCAGAAATCACAATGTATGTTTTTTTTATGTATTTGTTTGTATGATACAGCTGTAAATAAGTATTTGAACAGCTCACTCCATTTATTATCCTAAAATATATGCACCTTTTCGAGGTTGTTAGCTGCATAAAGACACCTGTCCAACTACCTACATGGCCATAACCAAAGAGCTGTCCAAAGACACTAAAGACTCAATCGTACACCTCCACAAGGCTGGTAAGGGCTACGAGCAGCTTGGTGAAAAAAGGTCCACTGTTGGAGCAATCATTAGAAAATGGAAGAAGTTAAACATAAATGGAAGAAGTTAAACATGACTGTCAGTCTCCCTCGGACTGGGGCTCCATGCCATATCTCACCTCATGGTGTCTCACTGACCCTAAGAAAAGTGAGAAATAAGCCCAGAACTACACGAGAGGAGCTGGTCAATGACCTGAAAAGAGCTGGGACCACCGTTTCCAAGGTTACTGGAAACGGTAACACTAAGATGTCATGGTTTTAAATCATGCATGGCACAGAAGGTTCCCCTGCTTAAACAAGCACATGACAAGGCCCGTCTTAAGTTTACCAGTGACCATCATGTGGTCAGATGAGACCAAAATAGAACCTTTTGGTTATAATTCCACAAACTGTGTTTGAAGAAGAATGAAGGGTACCATCCCAAGAAAACCAGCCCTACTGTGAAGCATGGGGTGGTAGCATCATGCTTTGGGGTTGATTTTCTGCACATGGGATAGAGCAACTGCACTGTATTAAGGAGAGGATGACCAGGGCCATGTATTGTGAGATTTTGGGGAACAACATCTTTCTCTTAGTTAGAGCATTGGAGATGGGTCGAGGCTGGATCTTCCAGCATGACATTGACCTGAAGCGCACAGCCAGAATAACCAAGGAGGGGCTCTGGAAGAAGCATATCAAGGTTCTGGCGTGGCCTACCCAGTCTCCAGACCTAAACCCAATAGAGAATCTTTGGAGGGATATCAAACTATGTTTCTCAGCAACAGCCAAAAAACCTGACTAATCTAAAGATCTATGTGGAGGAGTGGGCCAAAATCCCTCCTGCAGTGTGTGCAAACCTGGTAAAAAAAAACTACAGGAAATGTTTGAACTATGCAATTGCAAAAGAAAAAAGGCTACTCTACTAAATATTTACATTGGTTTTCTCATGTGTTCAAATAATTATGTGGCTGGATTATAGAAATAAAAAAAAAAAAAATATTGTGATTTCTGGATTTTTAAAAAAATTTTTTTATAGTCGTCTCTCACAGTGGACCCCTCCATCCATCTCCCTTAGTGGAAGAAATTGCAAATAGCAGGGTGTTCAAATACTTATTTTCCTCACTGTATAAATGAATGATCTAGTTACAAATGCATTCTGTATTGTATAGTTGTACCTTTTTTATGGCATTTATTAAATACATTTTATAACATGGTGGCGATGCTCATTCCAACTCATGCATGATTCATTCTTATAAACTCTAAGCATCAAAATCAACAACAAAAGATACAGAGATGAAGTGAAATACATTTTATTTTTGAACCAATGCAACTACAGTTGTCCTCATCCAACAGGGTGCGACCAGCTGCTTTTGCTTGTTTAGAGGCCGTTAAAATACCAAGTCTTTTTTTTCCTACAAAAACCCATTACACAGAATAATAAGGTATACAGAAGAACAGTATGTTACAATAGTACAAATGATAAATTATATTATACAGTTATAATGCCAACGGGTAGAGCACAAATCCAGAAAAAAAAAACAAGCAGTCTGTTCCCAGTACTTGGAGAAGGGCAACTAGTCAGACATGAATAAAAAGGGTCAGTTTATGCATATAAAGCCCAGACAGCCAAGTCAGTTAGTCCTCTGAAAAAAAAAAAAAAAAAAGCTGATTTAGTAGATGAAAGAGGCGCTCGCAGTACAGGATACTTTTTCACTTTAAGGAGGAAATCTGCTGCCAGAGAATAAAAAAGGTGACCAACTATATGCTTTACCTTGTTCATTTAATAAGGAAAAGCCTTTCCCTCCTTGTTTTCACCACATTTTGATTTTCTACAATTCTGAGAATGCAGGAACTGGTTATTAGTATTTCCTAAAGACTATATTAGTGACCTTTTCATTTCTTACTCAATGTTTTATATAGAGATTAAACGTTTTTGCTGGTTTGGAAGTACGTTTCACATCCTTTCATTTGAGCATAAAAAAAACCTTAATTGCCATTTCCCGTATCATAAACACTTGGAGCAGCTTCTCCTTTTTGCCTGAGAGAAATGGGATGTCTGCATTCAGTGGAAACATCCTAGGTTCTGCAGTGAAGCCAACATAGCACGTCACACCACAAGGAGGCGACCAAACAACAAACTGAACGGGATATAAACAAAACAACAAAAAAAAAAACTCAAAGGGACAGTTTAGACATTCTGAAGTGAATTCTGTGAAGTTAACAGTAAAAGATCCCCAAGTAGAAAGATGCAGAACTAAGATAACAGCTGGTCAGAGGAGACTCGCATTAAAACTGATTTTAGTCACTTTCCACACTTTTCTAGACTGATTTCTGTATTCTATGACAGTTCTGGACTGATGGGTGGAAAAAAAATTTGCCACAAATTAGATGTATAATGGCACAACTCTATGGCATTTGTCTGTAGGTGGGTTTAAAGGCAGTTTCTCTAATTTTTGCCCTTTATATCAAAATTTTAAAGAAGTATCACAATTTAACATATCCAATCTAGCCTGGATTATCCACCAAAAAACATGTTCTTTCTAGCAAAGCTTGTCATTCATTATTCACTTTTCTTAGTACAAATTCCAGAAAAAAAAAAATCAGAAATGTGAATCCAACCAGTGACAGAAGTAAAAAAAAATCATTTATATTTAAAAAAAATAATCCTATTTTATCATTTAGGGATCAAAAACTGTTGTGAAACTCTTTTTTCCAAATGATATTTTCTTTACCCATTATGATCCATACTTGGAAAAACCCTCAAATCAAACCTGCTGACGTTCAACGGTCAGTTTTTCAGCCATCATGGCGTTTCTACAGGGAAGTAAAGATCCAGTCAGTGTACTCATCAGGAAGGAATGGAGGAAATGTCTAAGTCATTTTTTTGTGTGCAAAGCTAATGATGATGTTTCAGTCCTGTGTTTTTTTGTTTTTTTATTTTCTGGTCTCACAGCTATTTGAGAAATGATTAGAGCAAACCCATGAGCTCAACTTTAGCACAGATACGCCATGCATCGCTGTGGCTGTTATATTGATATGAATATCATTTCATTTTAATGGCTAAAATCAGTTAAATTGGGGAGTGGGTCTCATTTTACGAGCCATAAGGCTTTCTTCTGTTTTCTACAAATCTACTGCATAAGGGAAACTATTACTAGTAGAAACTTCACAGATCCACAAACATAAACTGTCCCTTTAACAAAAAAAAAAAAAAAAAAAAAAAAAAGGGGGGGAAGAATCTAAAAAAGATGTGCATTTTATTTTAAGCAATAACTCATCAACCCACTTTTCATAACCAGCAGAAGAAACAGGGATGCTTTACTTGCTTTCTGGAAATCTAATGTTAATCCCCCAAAAAGTAACACTTTAATTAAACAAAACATTTGACTAGCTGTCAATTAGAGCAGAGTTAAAAATAAACATCTCATCATAGAACCTCTTAAATCTGGAGTTTTAATAAACAGCAAAAAAAATAAAAAATAAAAAAAAATAAGTAACGCTAATTAAGTGTGACCTAACTTTTCCAAATTCATCCACTAAAAATAAAAAAAAATACAGTCGCTATGACTTCGGTAACAGTTGTGCTTCTAAGAGAAGAGAGTAACATGACCTACCCATAGGGTGAACAAAAAAAACAAAACAAGAAAAAAAAAAGAGAAATTACAGAATCAAGATGATGCACAGCTTTTTCTAGCCAGTAAATAACAAATAAAAGGACGACAGAAGAAACCGCAGATTGTTTACGTTGCTGTTTGCTGTGGGATTCCCCTGTGCTATCAATAGTCCTGTTGGAGTCTGCGTGTGTCAGGCAGACGCTCTAAGGGGGAGATTAACCACAGAAAATCCAGCTGAGCTAAAGGATCTCCACAAAGCTCAGACCTTTTCGACACAAACCAACTTAAGGCTAATGGGATAACTAAACCGCCCTTTGTTTTATTTTGGGTTGGAGGGGGGCAAGAAAAAGAAGAAAATAAACTTACCTGGTTAAGTACACTTGGAAGCTAAATGCACACTTACACAAACTCCCTCTTCCCTTTGACCCTAGAAACCTCAAAAGAAAAAGCGATTGCTCCAAAAAGCAAAGCATCAACTTGTTTCATTCAGAAAATACTGACTCTTTTCATCCTCTCTTCTAAAAACGCTGACCGGGGTGGAGCCGCAGTGGAAAAGGCTTCAACATGTGGCTGTTAGTATCTAAGCGATAACAGCACGCCTGCATATGAGCACATACATACATACATAAAAAAAAAAAAAAACATCTTGTCATGCTTTTCTGCAGTCTTTTATGACCAGAAAGAACATTTAATTTCCTCGCAGGGAGAGTTCATGTTTCATGTCTGTGACCTCTCAGGGGCCAAAGTTCATGTGGAAGGTCAGACTAAAGGTCCAAGGTGAAGGGTTGGGACTGAGTAGTACCGAGAGCCGAGGCAGTGTACAAGTGTGCCTGTAATCAGACTTCTGTGAGCTAAGGTGTAACGGTGAGTCCAACAGTCGCTGAGAGAAAAACTAAACTGAAAAATAAAAAAGCAAAAATTGTGCAAAATTCCTGCTTTGTAACACACAGCATACACACGGGGAGTATAAACACATCTCGCATCCTTAATCCAGCGTGTTGGAGTAAAACTCACTGGAATATACACAGTGTAAAAGCACTGAGATGTGCACCCACCCACCTACCCACCCACTCACACAGACACACTACAGCTGATAGGGCTTATAAAAGATTAGTTCTAGAGAGGAGATAAGAACCGGGAATTAGTACAGGCTGACTTTCCTGTCACCCCATCACAAAAGAGAGGGGGGGTTCAAAGAGTGAGGAGGCAGCTGAATAAGAGGAAGAATGGATGGAAAATCTGGCTCCAGTCCCACCTCTGTGTAAAATCTGAAGTCCATGGGTGCAAAATCTCTGTGGTCACCAGCATCATATAGGGATCAGACTGGCACACACAAGACGAGGCAGCTTGTAGCTGAGGAACAGGAGGAGGAGAGCAGAAAGGAGTCAGGAAGGGAGGTGATTTAGTAGGGAGCTGGCTGGGAGTGACTTATAAATGGATACATGGGATAAGATATCTCCTTGTTCATGTTGAAGCTTCTTAAGGAGCAAAGAAGAAGTCGATACTTTCTCCGGAGTCATCCTTTCACAATAGGAAGGGGTTGGTGGTTCCAGCAGGTTGCGTCCCAGCCTGGGGGGGCATGCTCATCAGTGGTTGAGGGATTGACATTGTGGGTGGGATGCCTGTGCTCCCACCGACCCCAGACGCTCCCAATCCAGGTATTCCATGGCCTATTGGGGCCATCCCTGCCAGGGGGACCATGGTAGGCTGGGTGGGCATGGTGGACAGGGGCAGCGGCTCCACAATGCTACCGAAGCCAGAGGGCATGGGGCTGACGCGCATCTGGTTGAGGGTAGGAGGAACTGGCTGGCCCACTTGGAATGGGTTAGCTGTGGGAGCTGGAGCAGAGCCGCCTGAGTGAGGGAAACGGGTGATCAGTACAGAAGAAAAACACAAGTGAACCTCTTCGAAACGGTTATTTGTTTTACATGAAAGAAAAAAATATATACAGCAGTTTTCATTATCGACAGGTTGGCAGAAAATGGAAGATCAAAAAGCTCCGTTACGCTGTGATGCTCCTACCTGTGGCAGCCAAGAATGGGTTGACGACTGGTGCCGGCTGAGCTGGTTTGGTCACTAGAGAGTCTAGATTAACCAGTGCAGCGTTGGGCCCCAGGAAGGACTCTGGAGTCTTCCTAGTTGGGTTTGAAGACATTGAAGTAGAGGTGGGGAGGGGGTCAAAGAGGTCCAGGCTGCCACTACTGGCCAGACTGACTTGGGAGGGAAGGGAGGACGTTATGGCGCCGTCGACTAAAACGGAGAAAGAATTGAGGAGGTTTAATTCACTGCTTTTCATTGAGTTTAAACATTAAAACTGGCATCTCTCTAGTATAAATGCCTCCTTTTCACATTAATCCCAATGAGTCTCCTCCTGCACTTAAGAACTTCCATCATCTTCAACAAAAATAAAACAAAATCAATGAAATAATAAAATATCTTAAGGCAATAGAGACATCAAAGACAGCTAGACTGGCAACAGTCAGACGGCAGTGGAGACCGTCATTAATGTGTTATAACCACCTTAACATACCTGCAAAAATGGAGAAACATCAAAGAGAAAATTCACTGTTACATATCAGAACGTATGACATCATCAGAGAACAAAAACTTATAAGTTCAAACCAATTCTTTATTTCCCAAGTACTAAATACCGTCTAAAGATTTTAAGTCACATTTAATGTTTATTTTTTTTAAATGCATTATTTTCTTCAGTTCCTTCTTTCCTTGTTTTTAAATATTTTTATTTATGTGTTGAGTTGAAGCTGAAAGTCACCAAAATCCCCTCACAACCTTTAAAAATGAAGAACACTTAGATGTGCCAAAGAAGTTAATTCAAACCCTTTCAGAACCTGGATAACATTTCAAATGTGTTCATTCTAATAACTGTCTGTCTAATTGGATTATCACAGCAGATCTGAGAGGGTTTCTGTAATTTAGCCACCTGGAGGGGCCAATTATGAGCACAAAGGATAGATTGCATCACACCGATACAAAAATACAGACTTGAGCCAGGCACGATAAAATATATTTTTTAAAAAGGATGTAAAGCCAAATTTGTATTTTTTTTAACCAGTGCTACCTTTGCTCAAGTCTGTTACATTTATACAAAGACGAGACTGCGTGTCAGAGGCCCCTGCAGAGAGGTTAAGTCTGCACAGGGGCCATCTTCTGAGACACTGAGGGGAAGGAAACACAGACTCCGTGTCATTAGAAGGACAAAGACAGGGTGAGTACCAGTGGGGACAGAGGAGGAAGAGCGCAGGCTGTCAAACTCTGAGAAGTCTTCCTTGGATGTACCATTGGATGTACTGAACAGGTCAAAGTTACCTGAAAGGAGACAAACCCATTCACACCACCATGTGTGCACACACACAAAGACGACAATACACCGATTACATACACAGCAGAAACAAAGTGTAGACAAATGGAGACATTACAAATACTAATGTGTGTGGAAACCTCAGTTACATGAAAGTAAACAATAAAATGAGCAGCAAACAATACAGATGGATGTAATCCTATTCAAACTGTGCAATTAGTGTCTTACTGAGGGTTCATTAGAGGCCGTCTATCAACAGACTAGAATTATAAACCATTCTATCGTTTATGGATTCTATACTTCTGATCTACAGGTAGATTAACTCTACTGGGATGAAAAGAATCTTTTGGATCATCAGGTGAGTTAAATGTGTTAGTTTTTTGTTGGATAGAGATAAGGGGATGGGAGGGGCTACCTGTGTTGGAGGTTTTAGGGCGGCCACTTCCAGAACCCCAGGGGTCCGATGCAGGACTGGAGTTTGCCCAGGGGTCGCTGGCCTTCACGGCGGGCAGAGATGAGGAAGGAGCAGCCCATGGGTCTGCTGGCACTGATGGTCTGGGAGCAGATCCTGGAAGAGAAGCAAAGTGATGAGAACGTTTATCTTCCCGAGAATCCCTTTCTGCATCACATATGCCCTGCACTCCCCTTTCTTCACAATATCTTCTTCTAACTCCCTCCCTGCTCCCAGAGCAGTAATGTTGCTCTGGGAGCAGGGAGGGAGTTAGAAGACATAAATTAAAAACTAGATAAATAAACTTAGAGATGCCAACAAAATCCTCATGATTTTCACCCAACACTGCGATATACATTTAAAAAGTGTACAAGAGCTTTATAATTACATTCAACTTATACTGGCGTCTTTAAATATGTCACTAAACAAAAATAAACAAGCATTGATAAATATTAGGGCTGTCAAAATGAATGTGTTAATGTAGAATGATGAATTTCTGGAAATAACACGATATTTTTTAACCGCATTAACGCATTTCCGCCCTGTTTTACAGACAATTCAATTGTCTGACATGAGCGAGATGGAGGAGTCAGAAGAAGAGATTTATAGAACGCTGGAGCATACAACCATAGATCTATGGAAATGTTGTTACAAACAATTCATTTATTATATCAATGGAGAAGAATAAAAGAGCTAAATTATTACTTAATGAATGTGAAGCATTAAAGACTGATTAGGAGACACAAGGCTATGACACGACCAATGTAATTAAGTTTACCATTGAGATAATTATCATCCCATCCTAAACGGAGAATAATGTAAAATAGTACGTTTGGTACTTGCAGGTTAAAAGTTTTAATATTTAATCAACCTATTAAACTAGTAAATAGACAAACAACTGTGGATATTTTTTTATAAAAGTGCAGGAAATTATCACAACCCTCAAGAATATACATATTGTTTACCAAATTCTGTATTTTCAACAGTTGGTATAAATTCACTATATTATTTACCCATAGCCAGGTATATAACTGTTAATTTGATACATTATTTGACACAATCAGCCATCTATGCTGAAAAAAACCACAGAGCTTATTCTTTAAGCCAGAGGTGCTTAAGTCCAATCCTCAAGATCTACCATCCTGCAACGTTTAGATGCATCTCTTCTCTAACACACCTGAATTTAAAGGCTCATTCCCCCATTTAGCCGAGTAGACGCATGGTAATGAGCCACTTATTTGATCCAGGTGTGTAAAAAAAAAAATGGGGTGCATCCCCAACATTGCAAAAGACTCATTTATTGTGAAAAAGAAGGATTTTGTATTTTTTAATGGTATAAGTAATCAATTGTACTGCTCAGACGACAAAGAAAACTGAAAAAAAAAAAATATCTAAATAATAGTGAAAGCTGCAGAAAAGTATCTTTAAGTGAGAGACTTAAACTGGGAAAGGGTTGAAAGTATGATGGGAATACAAGCAGGACCATCAGAACCTGGCAGTGTGACATAAACCTAAAGACAAACTAATAATTATAAGGATGAATTTGATTATGCATTTCATTATGTTGTGTAAAAACATAAAGCTTGGAGAACAAATTTTTTTTTTTTTTTGTTCTGGGGCGAGTTTCTAGTTCAACTCAGTTGGTGGCAGTAATGCACTTTAACTAGTTTGCCAACTGCCATAAAACCTTACAAGAAGAAGAAGAAATGGGGTGCATCAAAAAGTTGCGAGATAGTAGTTCTTGAGGACTGGACTTGAGCACCCCTGCTTTAAGACCTCTGACTGTAAAACTTTTGACATAGGAATATGATTAGTTTCTTAATCAACAACTCCAATCTTTAATTATTACGGCTAAATCATCCTGGCTGGCATCTCTGCAATTAAAACCATTAGAAAGGAGCAACGATATAACATTTTCTATCACCAATGCTAAAACAGAAGCACTGCCTTGTTAAACTGGTTAATAGTTCCTGTTTGATCCCTGCTGCAGTGAGACATATTTGGGAAAATGTTCATGGCGGAATTGAAATCTTGTACAATGCTTTGCATTTATTGCCTGTTATTATACAGCTACCATCACTACGGTGCCAAAATATGAGCCAAAACAATCATATATAAAGTTTATACGAGTTCATCTTAAATTCATTCCCTTTAAAGTGATTTGGTTCAACATAATAAGATTGCAGGCCTTAAATACTTTACAGCAATTTGAACATAATGAGGCAGGAGAAGCTAACAGCCTATTAGAGCGTGTTAAATAGACATATAAAAAAAAACATACATCCTGGCAACAGTACAAGTATGCACCCTGTTGCTTGACTGAAACTAGCGCTACACTTTTATCTTCCCGAGAATCCCTTCCTGCATCACAAATGCCCTGCACTCCCCTTTCTTCACAATATCTTCTTCTAACTCCCTCCCTGCTCCCAGAGCAGTAATGTTGCTGAGCCAGACGAGCAGCATTCCGATTGAACAAAGAGTCACAGTCCAGCGAGCTGCAGGTGGAAAGCAGCGATGCCTTTGGATCACACACACTCAGTAACACACACCAGCTTCCCTCTATACCTCTCCAGAACCACAGTAAGTATGTGGACCTTTACCAATAAGAATGTGTGTGTATTTACCATAAGGCTGCCACGGGTCTGCTGATGCAGCTCCAGCTCCAGCTCCACCCCCCATCCCCCAAGGGTCAGCCTTGGCACCTGGCTCAGGGACATCCATTAGATCCATCAAAGAGGACTGCGGCTATAAAAACAGAACAAGAGCTTAGAAGATTTGGAAAAGGAGGAAAAAAAACAAAACATCTGTACACACTTTTTAGGCACTTAAAGGCGCTCTGTGTCTGTAAAATACAGCTACTAGTGTGTCCAGGCAGAAAAAGATGAGACTTTGGCTGAATTTCACCTCCTTCTTCTTCTTGGGCAGCTTTGCTGATCCTGGACCTTCTTTCTTACTCTCCTCCAAGGCCATCTGTAGTCTAAGGTCATCACCTCTACGTAGGCGCTCCTCCTAACACACACATTCTGAATTAGCAGCCCAGTTCCTTCTTCAGCTATATACATGCCGCATCATGTCTATCAGTATCCATTTGTTTCAGCCCCAGTATCTTTTAGTCATTAGAGCTGAGATTAAGCACACAATAAGGGCGAAATGGATACATGTTGGAGCATGCATATGATGTGATGCATGAATACCTGCTCTGCAGCTTCTCTGCTCATGGCCAAGGCAAGTTGTAGCTGTAGTTCCTCTTCTCCACTGGTCTGAGGTCTAGCCTGCTCCAACTCTGATCCAGCATTAGGAGATGTAGCTGGAAACCAAAAGGTAAATTGTGCATTAATGAGTTACCATTGGCATGCATGTTAGACATGGAAAACAAATGTAAGACATCAGGATGTGTAAACAACAACTTCAACAGGCCAAGAAATATCTGTGGAATCTGCCAGTGCTTAAAAAAGCAAACCTGCTCTGTCAGTGCAAATTAATATTTGCTAGTTTAGTCTTATAGTTCAGACTAATGAAAGTCCCGAATCTAAAGCAATATGTCAGGATACGTAGAAGCAAAACAGTTTCAGATCATACTGCTGCAACTAATAATGATGGCGCTGGTTACAGAGGTATTTCTAAACTCCTAAATGTTCCAGTTAGACCTGCTTATGATGTAATCTGAACTTGCAAACTGTATTATTTCCACAAAAATCAGCCATTACCAAGTGGTCTTTACAATACGGTTACGAAGGAGTCAAACTATAATGGGAAGAGTTTACCATGAGGCGTGCACATTTTTTCAGCTCAGGTTATTGGCTGATATCACATAGTTGATAGAGGATGAATAGAGACATGTATATTCTTGATTTAAAAAAATGCAAACAACTGCACCCAATTTAGGAAACATATTTTAATTTCTTTAAAAATGTGGATTATCTAAGTTTTTACTAAAACCATGCATACATTTCACATCTACAGACCCTTTAAAAACATACATTTACTGATAATATATTGACTTGTTCCATGTGTATAACCTCCAAGGTAGCAATAAATATGTATATCACTAGTTTGTACATAATTTGGATTAAGACTACATTAGACAAACGCCAAAACAACACTTTTAAATGTAGTAATTGTTTTGAAAACATATTTTTATTTAGTGTGTGTGATTCCTGTGTGAGTGCTTGTGATACACACATACATATAAATGGATTAGGACATCTATGCACAGCCAAAAACAGCAATGCCATTGTAAACAGTAAATTTATACTGTATGAAGATTCACACTATTTACTCTTCAGCCAAAATTGATGGTTAAGCTACTACCATATGAGCCATATCTTAGAAGAAAATTATTCAAAGCTTAATTTCTCCAGTTATTGCCTTTAACTTTTTTTAATTTGTCCTTTTACTGTGTTTTAAGTAGGGCTGCAACTAACGATTATTTTGCAAATCGATTAATACGTCGATTATTCTTTCAATTAATAATAATAATCGGAAAGCAAAAAGTTCCTTGGAGATTATTTTTTACAGAATTAACCCAGTTGAAACAAAAACTTTTCCACTTGAGAGTTCTGGATAGAGCATTTTGACAGAGGAAAACAATTTTTTTAAAACTAAAATTCAAACTACTGATTGTTGTTTTTGTTTTAGTATAATTACTGCTCTAAGTGGGTTGCTCTGTCAGCTGAATTCACATCTTACAGTCTCTATTCCCCAGTTAATGATAAACGATTAATAAATTAGTTGATGATTATTTCAATAATCGATTGATCTGATTAATTATTTTGGCCCTAGTTTTAAGTATACCACATGGAGCGGGTAAATGCCTATAATTATCAGGGCAACAAACTGAATATTTTCAGACAGTATCCTGACTGCGTAAAATAACTCCAGACTTTATAGCAGCCTCTTTGAATTTATTGTGTCTGAGCAAATGTGTAGAACTAAATGTGTTTGTGTTGAT